AATAAGTTGTCTAAAAACGAATCCACTTACATTTATTCGTGATTTGTGCAAGTCTGACTTTCTCTGATGAGAACTGTTCATCTAAATCAAACAAATCCAGTGATGGCGGTGGCAATTCACGGAATGTAGGAGGAAATACCTGCAAAAAGAGAGAAGATTAATGTAGTGGGTAATGTCCAAGATTCACTGAATTGACATTCACAGCAATAAGCTTTGTATGGCTATAATACACGTTTGAAACACACAATTCTATACAAAATGAGTACAACGTATATAGTAATGAAAATACTGTAAATGCATTAATTATTCACTGGTTTTTAATTGCGCTGTTTTCGTTGATATGTGAAATTTGCTAAATTAAATCCACATGAACTTGTATAAAAACAATTGTTTCTCTGCCAAGTTTGTGAACTTAAATTAAAACCCAGGGAAATTGCCCACAGTGAAAAAAAGCCTGTGGGAATAAATTATTTTACAGTATACTTGATGACTAACCAGGTATATTGTATGACAGGGCCTGAACTTCAGAAGACACAAAAGTATAATGCCAAAATACATATTTGGTCTATTAAAATGTAAAGCAAAAATTTAATGTATTTATTAATTATATTGTGGGTATACAATGTACTCAAAACATAGCGAAACAGTGAAAATAACTATTTTTACATTTATGACTAACCAGAAGCGCATTTTTCAAGCAGAGGGGTTGTCACATGCACATGCACAGAAATTGAGTCCCAAGCGACGCTAACAACGCACGCTAACACAAAGGCTCATGAGTAGATGCTTGTTGGTAAACGACACGCTATGGCCGTTTGCTGCATGTGCAGATGACAACTCCCTCGCTTTAACTGAATTAAATTTATTGTATTTTGGGTATACTTATTTTGACAATGAACACACCTCTTCACATAAGTACATGTGAAACTAGACGAGCTAATACGGTATCTTAAAGTGCATTCAACAAATTGTCATGATGAACATGAAGAAAAGCAATAAGTTCGTTGAGTGGGTCATCTAAGCAATCTAAGCTTATTTGATTCCATAAGTTTTTAACCTTGTACAAAAAATGAACCGATACATCATGTGCGTAGTGATACAACAGGGAAAACTTACTGCAGGTTGCAGTGGTGGTAGCGGTGTTTCAAACTGTGGCTGGATCAGTGTAAGTGGTTCATGTTTGCAGCCAAGTGTATCAATAGCCCTACAAGAAATAGCAATATACATGTGTATAGTTATCAACAAAACACTGATGTGAACAATGGCAGTATTCAACATATTGATATATAATAGGTGACGTAGTGAGAGGTGCAAAGCGAGTGTCTGCGGCAAAAAAAAAAATGTTTAAACCTGAATGACAAAATGCTGATCTATGAGGAGGGGAATACTTCATCAAAATTGACCATCATCAAATGTGAATAGCACATTATTAACTGTGAAATTACCGCCAAAATACTTTTGCGTTTGTTAATTGACTCTCATGTGATTTGACACCACTACAAACTTTGTCCTGTTTTTCGCTCAATTTCACGCATAACGGGTGAATAGAAAATGGTCTATTAAAGAAATATTGGAATACATTAACTTTGAATACTAAAACCAAGTGTTATTTTTGCGAAATAAACCTGCATAATTTTACCATATTTTTCAAAACGTTGATCAAAACATATACCCAATGTGAATTCCAAGCATTTCGTATAGAAGGCACATGACTACTTTGAATGCCTGAAGCAGTCAAAGTGAGGATTCTGTCATGTAACCATGGAGACACTATGACAATGTAAATTTTACAGAAATTATACTGACACAACAAAGTGAGTTTAGCTAGCCTAACAGTACAGTATACAGCTATTGTAATAATTGACCCAAAGGAAACAATTGACAAGGCATAATTGTATTCTAAACTCAAGAATGAAATGTAATTTCAAAATTCATATTCAGAAAAGTGTAACAGTTGCATTTAATACATCGTATTCCAAACCAAGGCAGAGCTGACTATACTCTGAATTATACTGCGAAGTGAACAGTTGACTTCAGAAATAAAATCCAAAACCTTGCAGATGCGCCCATATTGTCTTGTGTGTTAATAAAGTATATTCTATTCTTATATATTTATACCATCATGAATGGAACGTATTACGATTTATTGTTTTGTTTTGTTTTGTTGGTACAATATTCATCAGTGTGTTGCATTCCCAAATTAGCAGAATGCTGAAACTAAATTTTGTTGTTGTTTAGTTTTATACCTTTGACTGATTACAACAACACAAATTATCTCACAACTTTCAGCAAACTTCAATGCTCTAATACTGATTTTATTATTTTGTTTATGGTGATCACGACAATCAGTTGAAGGTTTTCTGCATCAAATACAAAGTGAGATTCAACTTTGAAATAGACAAAAATACGTTGAGACTTGTATGCGAATAATTCCAATTCATAGTACCTTACAGAATTAGTCACCAAGTTTTGAAGTAGGCTAGATTTAGAAGGTAGAAAGCAGAAAGCTAATTAGTTGATGGGCATGTCTCAACAAAATTATTATTAAAAGCGGGAGGGTAGTCACATGCGCATGCGCAGGAGTCCCAAGAATATGAACTGCATAACTATTCACTATCAATAACAATATCAGTGACTCACTTTATAACTTTAGGTACCACACTTGTGTCCATCTTGAACAGTGTGTCATTGAAAAGTGCAGTGAAGTCTTTTGGCACATCATCACTTTCCTGAAGGCAAACACGTAACCTTTCAGCTAGCTTAGCGGTCTCTGGCAACATGTTATAATCTGAAATCTTGAAAAACAAATGTAAAACCTTTTAATAACATTTTTTTTCCAAACCGGGGAACAGCGCTCTGATACTCGTGGCTGGCACGGAGCCCTCTTATCAAATTGCTGATTGAACTTTTTTTGAATATTTCTCGAGCCTCACACTTCCGTGCTCCCATACAACATGAAATCTTTCTCAAATATATTTGTCTCTATGAAAATTTCCAAGCAAACACCAGCTTACAATGTCTGGACACCATATACACTAAAATTACACCAAAAATATTTCAATTGCGATAGATTCACTGTTAAAACGACGCAGAAACCATCTGATATGGCGTTTCCAGGTCTATCACCTGTGTGTGCTCCCTCTTGTTTATTTTTCCTAGTAAATCCCCTAAATAACATAGTTAAACTACACATGGCTTGCCCTTATATATGTAAGGGTGGGCAGATCATAGAATAGGGTGGACATATTACAAAAGTGGGGGCAGATCACAGGACCAATATCTTTTTTTTCCCATCTAACTTAAGGTTACAATTCGCAGATATAATTAACTTACTTCTGGATCATCAGCATCAATGGCATTCAGTACTATTTCATCAGTGGTTAACCACTGGAATATAACATCCTGTATCTTGGCATTCTCTTCCTTCTCAAGGTATTGGTCAGAAAACATATGCACAGATCCCAAAACTGCTAATTTACCCTTGGAATACTGAAATTAAAAATATAATAAGTTTGAGAAAATCAGAGCGAAACATACCAAGTTACCATGGCAACAAGACAATTACTAACAGGCATTTTACAGTATAATTATGAGTATGCAGAATATCATACCAGCTTTAGTTTTTTTTAATGAAAGGCACCACGATTGCATTTGAAAGGTTACTAAATGTTTGTGGTATAAAAGAAATATGTTCCTTGGTGGAAAATGAGAAATAAAATAATTTGCATCATCTTGATTTCCCTATACATGTGACGAATGGACAGGAAGACAGACAGACAGATAGATAGATAGACGACAGACGCAAGACGCAAGACAGAAACCCATCCCATAGGCTCAGCGGACCTATGGTCCATTGAGCCAAAAAATCAGAAACACTAATACACAATAATTGTTGTTGCACAAACCAAAACCAGTACACATGTGTCTCAGAGAATTTCATTTCAATAGAATACTAAAATGTGTGCTGCAGGAACAGTGTTTTCAGTTCATGATAAACAAGTTATTGAAAATGATACAGTCCCCATTAAATTTTTGAAAGTTCTCTTTGTGCTCGTCATATTACAGTGGAGGGGTTGTCGCGAGTGTGTCCTTGAAACTTGAGTTCCAAGTGGCGTATACAACAGATTGTTTATTTACATCAAAACACATGTTCCGTGTAGTAGTAATATGGCCAAAAATAAAAACAGCAGTTATTCGGCCATCTTTGATCTGATTATGAAACACACTGATATGTATGATGTATGTGCCAAATTCGAATGAAAATGGTACATAAATTGTGGAAATATAGTAGTAAGGCCAAAAAGTCAGATGGCTGTCAATCGGCCACCCTTGACCAGATTTTGAAACAAATTGTCATGGACATGCATCTTAACATGTATAAAGTACATGTATGTGCCAAGTTTGAATGAAAACTGACAGAGCACGTCCAAGTACCGCATAAAAAAACAAAAACAAGATGCCTACCAGTCAACCATCTTTGATCCAATTGCGAAATAAATCGTCATGGACATGTATCCTAACATGTATAATCTATGTACCAAGTTTGAATGACAACTGACAAAGCATGTCCCAAATACAACATTTTCAAAAAGCAAGATGGCTGCCAGTCGGCCATTTTGAATCGAATCGCTAAACCACTGCATGTGCGTATGTCCCATATAAGGTACTAGGCACATGCAAAGAATGAACGGAATCAGTCCACAGGATTCTGAAATATGAGGGGACTAATAATAGTCAAATATACAGTATCAAACAACCATATTAACAACTACATATTTTCATCCATATTGAAGCGAGGTACATACCTTTGATGAATGTAGAGCCAATACAGGCCTGTTTAATGGAAAAGAAACTGTTCCTGTAGACAGCACTGCCGAAGCTGGCTTGGCTACATTCAAAGTCGCACCGAATGGATACAGAAATGTCAGTGCTCTGTAACAAAAAGGTAAGCATGTGATCAGAACAGAATATTTAAAATTATACATGTATGTAAAGAATGAGTGCATAAAACAAACAGATTTAATTAGTTGACCAGTTTCCTACTGCCAGCAGTTTATATGACATTAAAGCCTTCTCTCTCAGACTTACTATTCAGTTCTGAGTCATCAGTTTTACTGTACTGTACTAAAAAGTGAGTTTACACTTACTGAGTGTTATTTGCAGCCTCCTCTTCATTTAATCCTGGTATGAGTTTACCAGCAGCCAGGCTGATGGCTCTGGATGAGAGATAACAAAATAGTGAATTACATCATAATAGCACATACGAATAGCTTAACAATTGACCTTAGAAGAAAATTACAGCAGAGATATTGTCAAAAGTGAGAGATCCATAAACTTGTTGTTACCCTTAAAATAGTGTTCCATTCTATTCCATTATTACCGTACTCAACCGCGTTAGCGACCAGTGTCCTCAACTCAGAAAATCATGATTTTTTAGGGGTGGGCACTTACCCGAGCACCCCCCTCGGAAAAGAATGCAAATGATAATTTTAATTCGCCATGAGACAGATTAAGAGGGATATTCACAACATATTCACGGAGGTCGATTTCCTCGCTGTATCATATAAAAACGATTACGAGTATTTGTTAAAGCAATGATCAAAAGACCAAGTTTTAAATTAGTGGCATATTGAAGGGGTGGGCGCTTTGCTGAATGTGACCCCGAATATAAAAAATGTGCAAAAGTGGGCGGTGGGCGTTTGACCGGGCATGGGTGCTATCGCGGTCGAGTACGGTATATCCGCTATTCCAAACACAATGATTATATTGGTCAGAGGAACAGTGGACAGGATGGTTTGAGAGATTGAAACGCTATTTTAGGGCTAAAAAAAAGTTTTGTGGCTTTCTCGCTTTTAATGTGATCTCTGTGTCCATTTGCGTCTGAGCTTTATTGTAAGGAATAATTTCAAGAACAAGTCATTGAAAATGGCACAGTCCCCGTTAAATTTTTGAAAGTTCTCTTTGTGCTTGTCATATTAAAGGGGGGAGGGGTTGTCGCGAGCGTGTCCTTGAAACTTGAGTTCCAAGTGGCGTATACAACAGATTGTTTATTTACATCAAAACACGTGTTCCGTGTAGTAGTAATATGGCCAAAAATAAAAATATTTGGCCATCTTTGTTCTGATTATGAAACACACTGATATGTATGATGTATGTGCCAAATATGAATGAAAATGGTACATAAATTGTGGAAATATAGTAGTAAAGCCAAAAAGTCAGATTGCTGTCAATCGGCCATCCTTGACCAGATTTTGAAACAAATTGTCATGAACATGCATCCTAACATGTATAAAAAACATGTGCCAAATTTGAATGAAAACTGACAGAGCACTTCCAAGGTACCGCATAAAAAAACAAGCAGCCTGTCGGCTGAGATAGCTTCGCTGTTAGCAATGCACATGGCAATTAAAGAACAGAAGATATCATTAGAAAATGAACAAATCTGAGAGGTCCACATGTAGTCCCTATATGTATAATATATCAAAGCAATTGGACTTGCGGTTTTCAACAAGAAGTCAAAAATATCACTTTTTACCAAAAATGACAAAAATATTCATCAAAATTAGAGAATTAAAGATATCATCATGAAATGAACAAATCTGAGAGAGGTCCACATGTAGTACCTATATATGTAATATCAAAGCAATTGGACTTGCGGTTTTCAACAAGAAGTTGAAAATATCACTTTTTACCAAAAATTACAAAAATATTCAGACACCAAAATTAGAGAATTGAAGATATCATTATGAAATGAACAAATCTGAGAGAGGTCCACATGTAGTACCTATATATGTAATATTAAAGCAATTGGACTTGCGGTTTTCAACAAGAATTCGAAAATATCACTTTTTACCAAAAATGACAAAAATATTCACCAAAATTAGAGAATTAAAGATATCATTACAAAATGAACAAATCTGAGAGAGGTCCACATGTAGTACCTATATATGTAATATCAAAGCAATTGGACTTGCGGTTTTTAACAAGAAGTTGAAAATATCACTTTTTACCAAAAATGACAAAAATATTCACCAAAATTAGAGAATTGAAGATATCATCATGAAATGAACAAATCTGAGAGAGGTCTACCCAAGGTACATATACACCAAGTATCAAAGCATTCAGGCTTGTAGTTTTCAAGAAGAAGTCGAAAAAGTAAAACATTGACACGGACGACGACGGACAATCACTCATATGATAAGCTCCGCTCGACAAAGTCAACAGCGGAGCTAAAAAACAAGATGCCTGCCAGTCGACCATCTTTGATCCAATTGCGAAATAAATTGTCATGGACATGTAACCTAACATGTATAATCTATGTACCAAGTTTGAATGACAACTGACAAAGCATGTCCAAAATACAACATTTTCAAAAAACAAGATGGCTGCCAGTCGGCCATTTTGAATCGAATTGCTAAACCACTGCATGTGCATATGTCCCACATAAGGTACTAGGCACATGCAAAGAATGAACGGAATCGGTCCACAGGATTCTGAAATATTACTATTGACAGACTAACGCACGAACGGACGGACAGACTCAGGAACTCAAGGACGGTCAGGGACATGTATCCTAACATGTATGATCGATGTACCAAATTTGAATGAAAACTGACAAAGCATGTCCAAAATACGACATTTTCAAAAAACAAGATGGCTGCCAGTCGGCCATCTTTGATCCAATTGTGAAATAAATCATCATGGACATGTATCCTAACATGTATATATAATCTATGTACCAAATTTGAATGAAAACCGACAAAGCATGTCCAAAATACAACATTTTCAAAAACCAAGATGGCTGCCAGTCGGCCATTTTGAATCGAATCACTAAACCACTGCATGTGCATATGTCCCAGATAAAGTACTAGGCACATGCAAAGAATTAACGGAATCGATCTGAGATATGATTCTGAGATATGAGAAGGGATTCTGAGATATGACTCCGGACGGATGCACGGACGCACAGACGGAGACCGAATTATAAGTCCCCGTTTTCGGACTTGGTCCGAACGGGGACTAAAAATAAGGAAATGGCCATATCATCTATCCTCTCTCTCTTAGATTTGCATCTATGAATCAACACGGGTAAAGCGAGTGTCATTTTTAGACTGTCCCCCATTATAACAAGATGATGATATAGAGGGAGTTCCCAGAGACAGTCTCCTAAATATTCCCAATGTTCTGAGCTTTCCTTGCCAAGGAGCCCACTAGGCTTCTCACTTGCATACTAAATGCGCATCTTCATACTAGGATATGATTCATAAACATATAACTAGAAGTTTACTGTCTAGTATCCAAATTTTATATCTTACTTGACTGAATGAATTCATTCACTGGATTTTGATTTGATACCCGGTAAGTACAATTCGCTAAAATAAAACTCAGTGTGTTTCTCTGGCTCAGGGTTCTCCCCAGGTCTTTTTAGCGCCGAGGTCTGCGGCGCTATACTTGTGAAGCTCGGCGCTTTACTTGGGACCTCGGCGCTAATTGTTCCGACCTCGGCGCTTGATTTCATATTTGAAATGCCAATATCAGATGTGCAAAAGCTTTGTTCGCCACACTGGTCAGCCCCGACCGTCACTCAAAATTAGTGACCACAACGGAAACGCTTCCGACCAGGACTATTGTCCGATTGTTATTATAATTACGTACCGACCGACACGCATCCTGCTAGTCATG